ATAATAATAATAATAATAATAATAATAATAATAATAATAATAATAATAATAATAATAATAATAATAATAATAATAATAATAATAATAATAATAATAATAATAATAATAATAATAATAATAATAATAATAATAATAATAATAATAATAATAATAATAATAATAATAATAATAATAATAATAATAATAATAATAATAATAATAATAATAATAATAATAATAATAATAATAATAATAATAATAATAATAATAATAATAATAATAATAATAATATAATAATAATAATAATAATAATAATAATAATAATAATAATAATAATAATAATAATAATAATAATAATAATAATAATAATAATAATAATAATAATAATAATAATAATAATAATAATAATAATAATAATAATAATAATAATAATAATAATAATAATAATAATAATAATAATAATAATAATAATAATAATAATAATAATAATAATAATAATAATAATAATAATAATAATAATAATAATAATAATAATAATAATAATAATAATAATAATAATAATAATAATAATAATAATAATAATAATAATAATAATAATAATAATAATAATAATAATAATAATAATAATAATAATAATAATAATAATAATAATAATAATAATAATAATAATAATAATAATAATAATAATAATAATAATAATAATAATAATAATAATAATAATAATAATAATAATAATAATAATAATAATAATAATAATAATAATAATAATAATAATAATAATAATAATAATAATAATAATAATAATAATAATAATAATAATAATAATAATAATAATAATAATAATAATAATAATAATAATAATAATAATAATAATAATAATAATAATAATAATAATAATAATAATAATAATAATAATAATAATAATAATAATAATAATAATAATAATAATAATAATAATAATAATAATAATAATAATAATAATAATAATAATAATAATAATAATAATAATAATAATAATAATAATAATAATAATAATAATAATAATAATAATAATAATAATAATAATAATAATAATAATAATAATAATAATAATAATAATAATAATAATAATAATAATAATAATAATAATAATAATAATAATAATAATAATAATAATAATAATAATAATAATAATAATAATAATAATAATAATAATAATAATAATAATAATAATAATAATAATAATAATAATAATAATAATAATAATAATAATAATAATAATAATAATAATAATAATAATAATAATAATAATAATAATAGGGGGTGGGTTGGCTCAGTGGTTAGAGTCATGACTTTGAGATCGGAAGGTCTCAGGTTCGAATCCCACCGTCGGCCGGGATTTTTTCATTTAATTTAATTATTTAAAATTAATTCTGATGCCTTGGTAGGATTCCCCACTCGACCATTCACTGTTGGGTTCTAATTAACAGTGCTGTTCCTAAAGTGGCGCTGGGAAACAGTAACAAAGCCTACACAGAACACGAGGCTAATGGCCGTAGTAGTCGACGCCGATGACACAAAAAAAAAAAAAAAAAAAAAAAAAAAAAAAATAATAATAATAATAATAATAATAATAATAATAATAATAATAATAATAATAATAATAATAATAATAATAATAATAATAATAATAATAATAATAATAATAATAATAATAATAATAATAATAATAATAATAATAATAATAATAATAATAATAATAATAATAATAATAATAATAATAATAATAATAATAATAATAATAATAATAATAATAATAATAATAATAATAATAATAATAATAATAATAATAATAATAATAATAATAATAATAATAATAATAATAATAATAATAATAATAATAATAATAATAATAATAATAATAATAGTAGTAGTAGTTTATTGACCATAATTATACAGGTTTGTATCTGACAGTCACAATGTTACATATAAATCACGTTAAAGTATAAAATAAAGTACATTGAATTTTACATACATGTCATCGAAAAATAAAAACAGGAATTAACAAACAGTGCTTAGGTACTAAATAAAATATCTTTAAAATTGATAGGAGTAAATTATTTAAAATAAGAATAAATTATTTAAAATAGTTGAGGTAATCTGTTACATTATAAAAACATTCATTCTGTAGAAAATCTTTAACAACACAATAAAATTTTTTACAAGACATATCTTTTATTTTCATATCTCTATTGCCATTTAAGAATACATTATATAATTTTATATCCAGTTTATTTACTTGTGATATGCGCAGCCTGCTTTGAGGAAGTAAAAGACTCTCAGCATACCTCGTACTGTAATCGTGCACATCAGAATGGGTATCTAATTTATGTAGATTTTTATGGATTGCTACCATGGTTTCGAGAATATAAATACAAGGTAATGGGAGAATCCTGTACTTCTTAAAAAGAGGCCGGCATGTTGTGTTATATGCAACTGTTGCAATAATTCTTATTGCTGCTTTTTGTAGAGTAAAGACTTTCATAGCAGCATGACTATGTCCCCAAAATACAATTCCGTATCGCAAATGACTATCTATGATAGCAAAATATACTGTCCTGATTGAAGTGTCATCAAGAAACTGGCGCATTTGTCTGAGCGCAAATATTTGAGAAGAGACCTTCGAACAGACGCCATCTATATGAGGTAGCCAGGTCAATCCCGCGTCTAATGTCATACCTAACGTTCTTACCGGATCTGCTTTTTCTACTAGTTTGCTAGCTGTAAAGATGATATTTTGCGTTTTGGTCTTATTTAATTTGAGTTGGTTAGCGTCAAACCACTTTTTAGCTACACTCATACATTGTATTTTTAAAGTTTCATCACCTCTACTTAGGATGGTGGTATCATCGGCGAATAAGATGCTAGTACCAGGCTGGATATTTTCTGGCAGATCATTAATGTAAATCAGAAATAATAGGGGCCCCAGGACTGAACCCTGTGGTACACCTCTAGACATATGACCTATATTTGAATTAATATTACCATAAGTGACATATTGTTTCCTATTTGCCATATAGGAAGTAAATAGACCCAACTCCTTTCCTCTTATTCCATAGAATTCGAGTTTCATTAATAACAGCTCACTGTTGACACAGTCGAAAGCCTTAGTGAGGTCACACATTATTGCATATGTGTTTGTGCCCTCATCAAAGCCCTCAACTGCACCCTCAATTAGAGCTGCAACCGCTGTAAAAGTAGACCTATGTTTTCTGAAACCAAATTGAGAAGATGATAACAATTTTTTATTTTCAAAATAACTAATCAGTTTTTCTTTGATGATAATTTCAAAAACCTTGCCTATGATAGGTACTATAGCGATGGGTCTGTAATTATCCGGACTTTCAGTGTCACCTTTTTTATAAATGGGGATGACTTTACTTATTTTTAACCCATCAGGCCAAGTACCTTCATCAATGCATTTATTGTATAGTAGATTGAGTGGTTCAACCAGCACATCCACGGCAGGCTTTATCATGGAACTACTAAGACCGTAATAATCAAGACACTTAGAATTTTTTAATTTCAAGATTGCTTGTCGAACATCTGAATTAATAATAGCGCTCATGAAAAACGAGTAAGACGGTTTATTCATTTTATTTAAAAATTCTTTCGGATTTGTATTTGAATTTTCGATTGTAAGCGATATTTTATCTGCTATAGTAGCAAAAAACGAATTTAATTCATCCGGTGTCACATCAGGTATTCTATTGACTTTACCATTAGTTTGCCTTTCGGCGTTTACTAGTTTCCATACTGTTTTGCTACGATTTTCCGAATTATATATCAAATTTGTGTATGCTTTACGTTTTGCACATCTAATTTGGCTTCTGTAATAACGTTGGGAATCGATGTACTGTCTCCAATCATCAAACAAATTTGTTTGTCTAAACAGGGTTCTATTTGCAAAAACTTGCTTACGAAGTTTCCGCAGCTCCTCGTTGAACCACTCAACCTCTCTAACCCTATTACGAAAAGTTTTAACAGGAAAACAAAGTTCCACTTCGCTGCATAATATATCAATGATTTTGTTGCAAGTATTATTTGCATCCTTAATTCTAAGATCCTGATCCTTCCATTTGATTTCTTTCAAGTTGTTTGCAAATTGATTTATTCGTATATCATTTATTAATCTATTTTTGTTATATTCAATATTAGAAGAACTTTTAAATGTATTTAAAATCATATAAATCCCAGAGTGATCAGAAATGTCTGGTTCATGAACTCCTACATTTATATCACTTATACTATAATTTGTGATTACATTATCGAGGCAGGATCTGGAGTTAGGTGTTATTCTCGTGGGTTCATGAATGTGATGTTTCATTCCAAACATGGACAGTATATTTCGCGTATCTTTAGAGCTCTCGGTGTTTGCATCAAGGTCCAGATTTATGTCACCGACTATACTTATATATTTATATTTTTTAGAAAGATTATATAAAATATTTAAAAGCTTTTCCTTATAGATTTCTATGTTTCCATGACTAGAAGACCTATATGTGGTAATTAAAATGGAATTATTGTCCACAAATTCTGCTGCACAAAATTCTGCGTGTTGCGGCACACAGAACTCAGTGCAGTCAATATTTTTCAATTTAATATTTGTTTTAGAATATATAGCCACACCTCCATGGGCTTTTAGATTTCGACAGTAAGAAGATATTAACTGAAAATTGTTAATTTTAATTAATGGCAAAGTATCATTTGTGAGCCAGTGCTCAGATATACAAAAAATATCAAATTTAAGCTGATCTAACAATAAATTTATTTCTACTAATTTATTTGACACACTCCGGACATTAATGTGAAACACGGAACAAACATTATTTGATAAATTAGATTTTAGCATATTGAACATATTTTTATTTTTATTTGTTACATTTAACTCCACAACTGGAAAATTTTCTTGAAGTAGAAAATCTTTAATATTACAATGGTGAATGTTCTCTGGATTCTTATAGTTTTTTCTATTTAATATATTAGGGACGAAAATTATTGTTCATATTATTTGTCTGTTGGCGAAACCTTGGTGACGTAGCAAATTCATTTATCATGACTTTTTCTGGCCATATTTCTGGTACTAATAGTTGATGATGATCATTGATAGGTGCCGATACTTTAAAGGAAGCGTAATCATCTGGAAAGCGTGAATTCAGTTTTTCCACCCTGATTGACGGTACAACACCTTTTAAGTACGTTAGCAATTCTTGTTCAGAGGTCGCCGGATCCATATTGGTAACGTGTAGGTGTTTGTAAACGGTACGGATAGCTGCTTTCAAAGAACAGTTGGTCGTAATTCCACTACCTGTGATCAAATTTCTGTTTCTCCTTCCACTTCTGCCAGAAGTATAATAATTGTTGACATTATCAGCTTCAGATTGTAGCGAGTTTGTGTGCTGATTCACATATCTATCGCATATGGCGTGACATTGAGCGTTGTGTACAGCTAGTGATACTGCATGAGTAGATATTTTAGCCATATTTTTACTATTTGAGTTTGGATTATTAGCAGGGGGTTGAAGGGTTGTAACAGCAGGAATTTGACTTTTGGGATCAAAACTATTCGAACATTTTAGATAATTTATTTGTTCCTGAAGAGCACATATTGCAATCTTTTGATTTTCAATTACTAAATCGTTCTGTTTAATAATTTGCTCTAAATATTTAATTTTGATCTTATCAACAGATTCATTTTCTGATGAATTTTCCAAACTAATAATAGGTTCTTCAACTGGGTCCATATTACAACAATTCGAAGTCTTGCTATCTATGATAATGGTGTTCTTTAGCATTTTTAAACAGCTATTGTGGGACATTACACCACAAATAATACATTTCGGTCCAGTAGTAACCGAGTTTCCACATCTCTTACATTTATTCAT